AAGTGAAAAGTAAGTAACATATAGGTATCAAATAGTGAAGAGTGTTGGGGGTAAAAAATAAGGCAGGAAAGTGAAATAGATATAAATTTAATATAATTTAATAAAAAAGGCCCACTGAGACTGTGATATTTAGGAAAAGAACAGAAGATGAAGAGAAAGTGAGCCATAGAAGTATCCAGGTGTGGAGGGAACACACTTGTAGGACTGACTTTATGTCTAAATGAGATGGGAGGGGATGGGAATTTCCACTACTTGGATACCTGCATTTTATTTTGGCATCAAGATTCATTCGAATGTTAGTCTTCCAGAGCACGTGTTCAAAACAAGGTTAATCCCCATGACTTCCACATTCTCCCTGAGTCAGGAAGGAGGATCTTACTGTATTTTGTCATGTAACTGCCCATAATGTCAAACCTCTAATCGTATGAATATTTGATACAGGCATTGAAATAAAAGCAACAAAGATCAGGTCTAAATTAGACTCAGGAGGCTGAGATATATTTCTCATACTCATGATCATCCTGAAAATCCCAAAAGAGGCTCCTCAGTGAGGTCACCTGATCACAAGGGCAGAGTAAAGAAGAGACCAGGAGCTAATGTTTGTGAGTCCGAACTTTCTTCTTACAGCCAGAATTAGGACTCAACACCTGGTGTCTGACTGTTCAGAAAAGTCTGGAGGCCAAGGGAAGGGAGCACTAGCTTGGCAGCAGTAGCTCAGAATAAGAAAACCAGACTTCCTGCCCACTGAGCCCTGGAAGTCTAGATTTTAGAACAAGGCATTACTAAGGGCCCTGTGTCCTGGAACATCTACAAAGTCAGTATGGGCAAGTGGTTTTGTACCTAAAAAGTTGTCCATAACACCTCCCCTTGACATGAAAAGACAGGCATTCTGTGTAATTGGCAGGTAGTTTCTATTTTTTTTTTCACATAATTGCAAATAAAGGAGTTTACATTATTTTTTTTTAATTCAAGTTGGTTAAATACAGTGTAGTCTTGGCTTCAGGAGTAGAACCCAGTGATTCATCTCTCACATATGACACCCAGTGCTCATTTTAGAAAGTGTCCTCCTTAATGCCCATCACCCACTTAACCCATCCCCCACCTCCCTCCAGCAACCCTCAGTTTGTTCTCTGTATTTAAGAGTCTCCTGTGCTTTGCCTCCCTCTGTGTTTATATCTTATTTTTCCTTCCCTTCCCCTATGTTCATCTGTTGTGTTTCTTAAATTCCGCATATGAGTGAAATCATATGATATCTTTCTTTCTCTGACTTATTTTGCTTAGCCTAATACCCTTGAGTTCTATCAATGAATGAATAAAGAACATGTGGTTTATATATACACCACATTATATATATATAATGGAGTTCTACTTGGTGATGAAAAAAAAGGAGTTTAGATTTAAATACATGGTAGAACATCTTTTGTCCTTTCACACAGAAAGGACAGGTGTTTGTGGCCTGAAGTTTTTGGCCAATGCTAGATTACTCACTAGGAAAACAGCCAGCATGATAGGAACACAGTTTTTGTTTTGTTTTGTTTTGTTTTGTTTTTTAAGAATTTGATAAGGGGCACCCGGGTGGCTTAGTTGGTTAGGCATCCGACTTCGGCTCAGGTCATGATCTCACGGTTCATGAGTTCAAGCCCCATCATGGGTTTTGTGCTGACAGCTCAGAGCCTGGAGCCTGCTTCAGATTCTGTGTCCCCTCCTCTCTCTGCCCCTCCCCTGCTCATGCTCTGTCTTTCTCTGTCTCTCAATAATAAATAAACGTTAAAAAATTTTGAAAAAAAGAATTTGATAATTGATTTTAAAAATGGATAAACCCAAAATTGTTTACTGTGTAACAATTATTTTACTACATACTAGTGTTTCTATTTTTGATTATATATGGAAGCACACTTTACATTTTAAGGGTTAAGCTCTGTAAAGAATGTACTTCTTGCCTGGCTAGAGCTAACAGGTTTCTTTCTCAAGCTGTAAAGATTTTCATTGTGGACAACCAGGTGATATTAATATATAATGCCTATCAACAAGGTATTTTGAGATCCTGCAGATCAAATTTTGCATTGTAGCAATTTGTGGAATAAGAACAAGCTAATGCAGCATGAAGGAAACAGTTAAGCGACTTCTCTTGAGAATACAAATGAGACAGAAAAGATCTGGTCAACACTAATTGATGGCTAATAACTAACTCGTTTGCACATCTCTAGTACACTTATCATTTATTAAATGTCAAATGCTACATTGAGAAGATAATTTCAAACTCCATGAATTTTTGTCATTAATTACCATCTTTTTGTAAAATCAAATATATCCTCAACTGTAAGACTCTGTTACTTTAGGTGAAATTAAAACAAAATAAATCTTCCAATTATGCTATAAACACTAAATTCTAAGTAGCACTCTGACTTTAGACTTGTTAGAATATTAAAATATGTTTGCCTTGGATTCAGTTAAATATAGTAGTTAAATAATTTGTGCATTAAAAGTATCACAGACGTACTATGTGTTGGATACTATGAGAGGCACCCTAGTCATAATAGAACTGGTACAGTACAATCTCTGTCCCCAAGCTGTCATCAGTTTGCAAAAGTAGATATAAAGTTAAATATGTAATAATAATAAAGTTTGGACAGTGCTTTGATATAGGAAATATGAATTGATGTTTGAGCTGGGACCCAAATGATAAATAGATTCTAGCCAGCTAATATGTAGTGGGTGTCAGGAAGGGTGTTCTAGCTAGGAGGAGTAAACCAGAGGAAATAGGAAAATGATGGTGCTAAAAAGTTTTAGTATGGCTAGAACATACTATTTGGGTCATAAAATTTAAGTGTCAAGAAATGTGATTAAAGAAACAAAAAGATACAAGTTCCTGAAGGGTTGATAAGCCAAGAATAATAGAAAACTACACTGAAATCTGTAATAGCTATCATTTAATACAGTCAGGGTCCTAGCCACCCTGAGTGCATCTTCTCCTTGAAATACCCTGTTTCCTTTGGAGTGAAGTGGAATTAAATGTATGTTGTAAGGAAAATGTTTACCTGGAGGATCAACCTGTAATTAAGAGAACTTTGTGACCTGAGACGTACAGGTGTGCACATAGAGTGCATCTTGACACATGCAGAGAAGCTTCGGCTCTGCATCTGGGAAGCTGGAGGCAGGATGTTGTCTGAAAATTATTCTTTCATCTGAATACTCCAACAGACGGGATTTTAAAATTTGCATTCATGTAACAGAATACTAAATAGTAGTGAAAATGAATCAAATAGTGCTGTATGTATCAACACCAATTTAGGCCATATCATACTAAGAGAAAAATCCAGTGGTAAAAATGATACATAAAAGTATAATTCTACTTTTATTAAGTTTAAACCATGCATAATAAACTATACATTATTTAATAGTATAAACATATAAATTCACCATGGAAAATCAAGGGTTCTATATTCTATTTTGCTATGAACATATGTTAATATATATGTTAAGGTTTGTATATTTTGTTATGAGAAAATAGGTTTTTTACAATATTTCTTCCTATCAAGTACCTTCAGTGTATAGTATATCACAAATCCTTCTCCTATTTAATTAATTTTTGTCAGTCATCACATCTTAGCATATCTATGTGTCAGACTCTATAAGGGTATTACACTCTCTAGTTAACAGATAATTTGAAAATTAGAGATTTCAGAGCAAATAAGTGAGAGAGCCAGGACTAGACCAGGCCTTTTTGTCTGTAGCCCTGAGCTTCTTCCTGCGTAGACACCACTGATTATTGACTATGAAAGTTTCCTCTGCCCCAAACTGTTAAAGAAGAACAGTCTTGAGCCCTGCTACCCAAGTCAATAGTCATTAGCCTTATGTTGCTATTGAACACTTTGGCAGCTATGAGTTCAGTATTTGGGGATGTGTCACTCTATGTGTCCCTGAAATTTCTCCCCCAAACATGGCTCCCTTTTTGATAAAACAAGCTTCCTTGAGGGGCACCTGGGTGGCTCAGTCAATTAGGTGTCCAACTTTGGCTCAGCTCATGATCTCGCATTTGGTGAGTTCAAGCCCTGCGTCGGGCTCTGTGCTGACAGCTCAGAGGCTGGAGCCTGGTTTGGATTCTGTGTCTCCCTCGCTCTGCCCCTCCCCTGTTCATGCTCTGTCTCTCTCTGCCTCAAAAATAAATAAAAACATTTTAAAAATTAAAAAAAAAACAAGCTTCCTTGTTTGAGAGTTTTACCTTCTTTTGGAGCTGGGCTATTCACATAATAAGTTTTGGATTAGTCCTCAGCTTTCTCTTTTTCCCTCCTCAGAGGAAGAATACATCTGTGTCAACTCTCAGGGGGTCCCTTTCTTTATCTTTTTAGTTGACTGTTAATTAGCAATAGCCATTTGTTGTATTTTTCTAGAGTATCAGTTATGATGTTTAACAATAGTCGTTTAATCCTATTTTTTCTTAAAACTGCTATTTCCCCTATACCTGTTATATGATACCAGTATACTATTTTGATTCACCAAATGATCCAGGATAGAACCTAAGTCAGTCAGGGTGCATAAGTTATACTTATGGCACAGAATTCCATATCAATTATTTCTGTTGAACTGTTGTTTATCCCTCAGCTCACATCTATGGCTTCCTAGGGGGTTCCCTCAGACCAACTGACAGAGAGGGAAAAATCGAGTCTAATTCTCTGATAAGTCAGCTTTAGTGGATTCTGAAAATGTACATCTGCTGTACTTCAGCACAGTCCGAGCGTGGTCCTACAGGGCAGTGGTAAGAGGGAACCCTCCCGGTGAGCAGAGTTGGGAGTAGTATGCTTGGTCATTCATTCTGTATCAAAGTGACACATGATTTAACTAGTTGAATAGGAACCTAGAAGGACAAAGATCGGAACATAGAAAAAAAGGAAGTCTGGAGTATTACTTTCAGATAGATTTAGATTATTGTGTATCTCATGTTTGACAGAGACAAAAAAACCTCTGTCACAGAAGAATATGTCAACTACTAGGTGGACAAGATGACCCATCCTACTGATGAGCGTCAACTCATTTCTCAGCCAGTACAGTGTTTGCACAATGCACCCATGAACAAGTTGTCTGTGGTGGCTGAGATGGAACTATGCATGGGCCCAACAGTGTGGGTTCCTTCTCACTAAGGCTGAGTAACTATTGCCACTGCTGAATGTACAACCTATCAATGGTAGCAACCAATGTGGGCCCTCAATACTCAAGTTGAGCCATTTGAAGGCATATTGAAATGATACATGTGAAGTTATTGGACCCTTTCAAATTAGATCCTTCAAGAGGAGACAATCATTTAAACTTAGCAGAATTAACATAATTCTGGGTATGGATTTGCTTTCCTACATTCAGTACTTCACCAAACTTATCATCCAGGGTCTTAAAAAACTCCTAATTCATTAGAATAGGATCATCAAAATTTCCTTGCACTAACAAGCCAATTTTATGGCAAACAAGGTAAGGTAATGCATGCATTTCCATTACCACTGACTCTACTTGTTTTACTCCACACTGTATCACCATAAAGTGTTAATGTGATAATAGAAGGACCTCTTAACTCCTCAGTAAAATGACAGCTCAGAGCTAAGACACCATGCAGTTTTGGTGTGCTATCTTTTAAGATGTGTAATATCCATTAAACTAATGGCCAATATATAATGTTGTGTCCCTAACATCTAGACTTCCAGTCTTGTTATCAAGTAATAAAAGTACCATTGGTACTTTTCCCATTCCTTTTCCTATTAGTCCTGTCAGTCTATTTTAGAAATCTTTGTTTCTGGTATTCACAATTCAGACTCTGTTAGATGAGAAGTCTTGATTTCTAATGTGGGAATGTTTCTTCCAGCGGACACAATAAAGATCCCACTGAACCTGAAGCTAAGATTACTACCTCATTGAGTTGGGCTGCTCATGCCAATGAGTTATGATTTTGGCAGGGGAAATTGACCCTAAACTTGACAAAGAGATAGATTTTGTGCTATACAATGGGGAAGGAGGAGGTATGTCTGGGACCCAGAAGATTCACGGGGTGTCTCTTGTTGCTTCAGTCCTCAGAAATAAATCTGAGTGGAAAATTGCAGCAATCAGAATCCACCATGGATAAGTCAACTAAGTGCTCAAACTCCTTGAAGATTTGGGTCACCTCTTAGACAAGAAATCCACATTAGCTGAAGAGAGGGAATTCTAAGAAGGAGATGATGAATACCAATTATGATTTGAATGGTTTACAGATGATAGGACTAAAATTGCCAAATTAATCCTCTTCTGTAAAGCTTACAGCCATCTGACAATTTGGATTGGTTATGGATTGGAATTAATGGAGGTTACCAGCCTATACAAGTGGTACATTAGATTAAATACCTTGTGCACTGCCTCATTTCTTCCCTGCCTCATGTCTCATGCTAGTAATTGATTTAGCAAACAATACTGCACAGACTGTGCCTAATATTAAGCATGCATTGCTTCTTGCATACTGCTTGGTTGCTTTTCTGGCACATGCCTTGGGACATCTGTGGGAGCTACCTGAGAATTCACTTATGCTAACCAAAAGTTCAGGAAGTTTATCACTCATGGAGAAACTCTCAATGGAGGATAGAGTCTGATGCATAATTGCTTCTTCTTTACATTCCTTGAATTTTGAGATGCTTCTAAATTTCCTCAGTCCAGGTGGGACTGAGCACTCAGTCTCCACAGAAACAATTTGAAAACACATCTTTATATAGTTCTCATCTTTCCTGTTATGCTTTCCCTATGTCTTACTCTATTCAGTCTGCTATAACAAAATATAATAGACTATGTGGCTTATGAATAATAAACTTTTCATCTTTACTTTTCATAGTTCTGGAGGGTGAGATATCCAAGAACAAAGCACCGCCAGATTGGGTGTCTGCTGAGGGCCTGCCTCCTGGTTCAAAGACAGCCATCTTCTTGTTATGTAATCACATGGTGTAGAAGGTCAGGAAGCATTCTGGGGCCCTTCTTCTATAAGGACTAATCCCATTCATGATGGCTCCACCCTCATGACATAATCACTTCCCAAAGTCCCCACCTCCAAATACCATTACATTGAGGATTAGATTTCAACATATGGATTTTGGAGGGACACAAGCATTCTGTCTCTGGCACCCTGTTTCCTCACTTCAACTCCCTGGGAACATGTGCCCAATACACTATTTGCATTAAAACCACTTTGAACTGTGTTTTAAAGGGAACCTATATTATGAATATGACATGAATATGCATATTTTTTCTCTGGATAGATTCCTTAAGTTTGTTATCCCCACATATCCATACATGTGCCAGTTTAGAAAGCATCAGAATAGGTAAGCTATCTAGAGGTGTAGAGATAAAAGAAGAGAGAAAAGGGGTGCCTGGGTGGCTCAGTTGGTTACATGAATGAGTCTTGATTTCAGCTCAGGTCATGGTCTCATGGTTGGTGAGTTCAAATCCCACCCCCACCCCCTATGCTCTATGCTCTGTGCTGACAGTGTGGAGCCTGCTTGGAATTCTCTATCTCTCTATCTCAAAAATAGATAAATAGATAGATAGATAGATAGATAGTTAAAAAAAAAAAGAAAAAGAGAACAGAAGAGTTCTGCCACCCCCCCTCCCCCTGCAGCCTGTATTACAACCACTGCCCTACACCATTGTCTCCTTCCCTATTCATGGGTGCTACAAGGCCATGCCCATGCTGCTGGCTGGCCAGGGCCGGAGCTGGAAGAAAGAAGTGGTGACCAAGGAAGCCTGGCTGCAGGACTCACTCAAGGCCTCCAGTTTGTATGGGCAGCTTCCTGAGTTTCAGGATGGAGATCTTATCCTGAACCAATCCAATGCCATCTGAAAGCTGCTCCCTTGGGCTCTATGAGAAAGACCAGTGGGAGATGACTCTGGTGTATGTGGTGAAAGACGATGTGGAGGATCTTTGCTGCAAATACCTTGTCTTTATCTATACAACTACAAGGCAGGCAAGGAGAAGTATATAAAGGCATGACCAGAGCACATGAAGCTTTTTGAGATCCCACTGTCCCAGAACCAGGGGGCCCAGGCCTTCATCTCGGGCAACCAGATGTCCTTCGCAGACTACAACCTGCTGAACTTGCTGATTCACCAGGTCCTGGCCCCCAGCTGTCTGGACTCCTTCCCCCTGCTCTTGGCCTGTGTGGTGTCTGTCAGTGTCTGGCCCAAGCTCAGGCCTTCCCCTTCTCCTGGCCCACAAAGCTCCCCATCAACTGCACCAGGAAGAAGTGAGAACATGGGACACTCTCTGTACAGGGTGAGGGCTACGTGCCTTCCTGTCTCCAGGAACAATAAAATTTACAAGTGAGGCAGAAAAACAAATAAAAGAAGAAGACTGAAGAAAAATCCTCAGAAACACATTTTAGATAAGGACATAAACACAGAAGCCCATGAAGCAAAGTGAGGGTGTGGTCACTGAATGAGAGGTAATAAAAGAAGGCTCACATTCTGTATCTTGGAAAGTTTGACCAGGTATATGTTCAAATTCTGTGACCATCCCAAAATCAAACTTAAAAGTCATGATAATTTAGAAACGTATCAAAGTGATAAAAATAAATCATTGTTAAAAATCATTACTTGGAGATAAGTACAACACTTTTTTTTTATGGTGCATTCCATCTAGCTGGAAACAAAGTAGATATTAATATTAACAGAGATATTTGGAAGTGGAGAATCTTATTCAGTGGATAATTTCAGTAGGTCTGCAGTTATTTGGCCTTGGTAGTAGGTATTTGGTTTAGGGAGGACCTCAGTTTTATTTAAACTTATAATTCAAAAATGGTTCTGGTTAGGGGGTACCTAGGTGGCTCAGTTGGTTAAGCATCTGACTTTGGCTAAGGTCATGATCTCACAGTTTGTGGGTTCGAGCCCCCCGTCGGGCTCTGTGCTGACAGCTCAGAGCCTGGAGCCTGCTTCGGATTCTGTGTCTCCTTTCTCTTCTCCTCCCCTGCTCACATACTCTCTTAAAAATATACATTAAAAAAATTTTTTAAATGATTCTGGTTAGGAGTGGGGGTGAAAATTATATAATGTCCATAAGCAGGAATTGAATTCCATTTTATGGGATAATAGTTTCTCAGACCCTACTCTTCAGATTACTAAAGAAAAAAAAAAAAAAAGAAAAGAAAAGAAAAGAAAAGAAAAGAAAAGAAAAATGCAGCTAGTTTGTGTTCTGTAGTTCTTTGTTAGTGGAGTATTGCTTGTCTTGATTTTACCACCTGACTATAAACCATGCCCCATGTAGCCTGTGTCCTCTGCCTGGCCTCCTTTATGCTTCCTGAACTCTCTGGGAACTCTAGAAATAGAATACTTGTTACCGAAGGATCTGATTACTTATTTTCTTGTATGTCTCTTCCAAGGAAACCTCATGTTTAGTAGAGTGCCTAATAAGTAGTATTACTTCATAAATTTTGAATAAGTGTAACCATTATAAGATGAAGTATTTTTAGATTTTACCTACCATGAAGATTTGCAAATACATACATATCAAATGAGTTTATAAACTCACATAAGAAAAACATGCCATCAGTGTCTACAAAATTAAATTGCCACATAAATGAGTGCCTAGGATATTGATAAAAAGTAGCACTAAGAACTATGAATACAGGCAATTATTATAACAATCCTCAAGATTGCATTACAGTGATGGCCATAGAAAAGCTGAGAATACTTAGTTTTCTTTTACCTAAACCTAATTTTTAGCTTTGCAGAGCTCAGCAAATAAGGACTTAGAGTACATTAAAGGCCCATATATATTTTTTAATTTGACTTCTTGGCAGAGACTTAAGAAACATTTCTATTTATGTGCACATGGTAAACGCCAAACAGGTGAGCTTGCATCTACCATTATTGTTCTGTATCTAAGAGACAAATGATCTATTTGAACACAATGACCCTATGCCCAGTCGTGGAGAAAACTAACATGGAACCCACAGTGAAACAACTCCAGCGTACGATCTTTCCGGGAAAACATCTGCTACCAACTGAGTGTGTTTACATTTTGGCAGCACTGACAGATGTGCTCATAGACAGCGCATCTGTGTGGTGTTGGGAGGGTAGAGGTAGGGAAGTTGGGCCGGACAGACAGCAGAGAGCTTACTATAATACACTGAGTGTTTCTAGAAAACGCAAATTAGCACCTCATAGCATTTGTTTCTTCTTGTGCTGTTAATGCCTTCATGCTAACTAATTTGTTCCCATTGCCCAGAATGAGCAATAAAGTTAGGTCTGAGACTGCTCTTAAAAAATGTAGCCATGATCTGATTAATATTTTAGGGGAAAAAAAAAGAATAATTGTTAATGTAAAAATTAATATAGAAACTTTGTAGAATGTTTCAAATATTTTTATATTTGAAAATATTATTAGATAATATTTTGATCTATGAGAAAAAGAACACTGAATAAATTAATTATCAACCTTTCTGCCTGCTGTTACATGTTTTCTTTTATGCACTGTTATGTTCTGAAGTATTATCCAAAGTGTGTTGTGTAGTACATAATTTCACACTTAATAGAAGTTATATGTAAAATTACCAGTGTCTTTTCACATAGAAATTCCTTTCTTTATTGTAAGATTTCTCAGATCCTTTACTATGTTGATATATTTTCTGAATCTCCAAGGGAGAGATACACAAAATTCTTATCCAAAGACCATATTTTTGTGGAACATGTCCTGGACTAGTATTCTCTGTGTTTACTTGAGAACTTCTGCTTTGGTAATTGAGTCAGAAATCAGCAATCTGGAAACAAAAAAGTAAAAAAAAAAAAAAAAAAAAAAAAAAAAAAAAAAAAGAGAGAGAGAGAGAGCGAGCATGAGCTCTATATTGGCATTCAATTATTTCACATAACTTGTTTATTGAAGCTTCAGAAACTAAGCAACTAAGTAACTGAGATATATGTTTTAAGAATGAATCAAACATTGGGGTTCCTGGGTGACTCAGTGGTTAAGCATTGACTCTTGATTTCAGCTCAGGTCATGATCTCACGGTTCGTAAGATCCAGCCCAGGGTCTGGCTCTGTGATGACAGCATGGAGCCTGTTTGGGATTCTCTTTCTCCTCTCTCTCTGCCCCTCCCTCACCCATGCTGTCTGTCTGTCTGTCTCTTTCTCTCTCTCTCAAAATAAAGAAATAAATGTTAAAAATAAAAGAATGAATCAAACAATTTTATTCTTACATCCAAGATTGTTTTTCTTTCATGGGCTTGTGCATATTGAAACTAGTGAATAGGGGAAATCATTAAGCTGCCCCCTTAATGTGGAGTTTAATTACTCCTATTCTTATAAAGAGGACACTAGTAAAAAAATTTTTAAAATATAGGAAATGCATGAACTTTGCCATCTGCAGAACTTCAACCTTAAGATATTTCAGTAGTTGCTAATAGAGATGAATGAAACACCCAAATTCAATCAAATGTTTGCATAGGAATCTCATAATGAGAGTTTTATATAGCTGTAATGTAGTAGATTTTGTGATACATAAAGTCAGATTCTAACATAAAAGTAATCAAACTTGCATGGAAAAAATATAGGAAGAGTTTGGACCAAGAATTGGCAATGTTTATCCAGCACCATCTAGGAGAGAGCTACTGACTTGGAAGACACAGAGGATGATTGCTCTATCTTGGGACAGGGATAGTTTATCAGTCCCAACGTCTAAATTATATACCCCTCCTATATACTTACTTATGCTTTTGATTTGTGTTCATTAAATAATAATTTCGTTAAATAAAAAGAGGCAGCATCAAAATGTGATGGGTAAGAATGTGCACACTGAAGTCAGACCACTTGGATTCAAATCCTGATTCTTTCACTTCTAAGCTGTGTGACCCTCAGCAAATCACATAACCTTGCAATCTCATCTGTAAAACTGAAATATTGCCATATCCATCTTACAGCTTCACATCAGGTCTTATTTTATCCCAAGAATCAATAAGGATTACCCACGACATATGGATCCTTATAAATAAAAAGTAATCATGTAAATACAAATAAGGTCTATATTCATTATCCATTGTTAATGGTTCTCTAGCAAATGCTTTACAAGTGCAGAATGGTATAAAAGGGACCTCATGAGGAGCACCTAGGTGGCCCAGTCAGTTAAGCATCCAACTCTTGATTTCAGTTCAGGTCATGATCCCAGGGTTGTGGGATTGCACCCACATGTCAGGCTTGCCTCTGGCTGTGGAGCCTATTTGGGATGTGTGCTCTCTCTCTCTGTCTCTCTCTCTCCCCCTTTACCCCTCTCCCCCACTCATGCACTTTCTCATATATAAAAATAATAAAAATAAAAATAAAAAACCCCCAAAACCCCTGTTCCTTATAATGACAGATAAAGTGGAACCGAGGGCTTAAATGTAAGAGATAAGAGAAAAATTGGAAAAAAAAGGGGGGGATTTAATTTATTTTACAATTTTACAAATGATAAAACAATTACACCCAATTGCTATACATAAACAATAGGAAACAGTGTTGAACAGAATGAACTTGACAGAATAAATCTCATCTTTCAATTCCACAAATGATTTAAGAAATACTCAGTAGCAATTATCCTGTGCAGCAGTGCTATCTCTGTAAACTCTTTTTTTTTTTTCTCCTGCTATATACATTTGAAACACTTGTGCTTTTTGCCTACACAAAGAAACAGTATTTATTAAAAGGTGCTACTTAAATGGAGACACAGGGCCCGGAGCCACAATCTGAACAAAGTCTAAGTCAAATACATTGCCAGCTTCAAACTTTTTTTAATTTTTAATTTTTCTTTTTTTTTCTTTTTTTAAGATTTGGCCATACTAGACCCTTATTGACACTCTAAGTATGAACAATAGAATTCAGTTATAAAGTAGATCCCTCTTCAGGTTAGTAACTGAAGTCTCAAAAGAACTTCTTTATTCTAAAGTGGTCTTATCTCCAGAGTGCTTAACAGCACAGCCTCTGAAGATGTTAGCATAACACAAATCTAGTGCGTGTATATTACAGACTCTGTGTATATAACACAGACACACATATATAACATTGTATATATGCATCACACATGTCTATTTGTACTATATAGATATATCTATAGCACATATATAATAAAATATCTATTTCTAGGTGGGCTTTATTTGGATTTTCTTTTGTCAGATATGCACAATAACCCTCTCTCACTCAATTTTCAAAACATTGGTAACTTGATAAGGTCTAATGAGGAAACTTTCAAACTTGTAGAGGTAACAACTAACAATACGTAACTCTTCCTACACCTCTTCCACAATTATAGATACCCCCAACAATAAGCACGTGAAAACAACTCTTATGAACCAAATACCACATTGTGTGCATTATGACTAACTGGCTCAATTAGAAATAAATTACTTTGTTCACCCTTTTCCTGTGGAGAAGTTTAATAACTAGTTGGTATGTACACTACCCATAGCATTATTTAAATAAATTTCTTATGTAAGCATATATGTAGAAATTCCCATTAGTGATTGATATACATTTCATATGATATACAATACAGAAAGACATTTGAATGCCCAGCACCTTCTTTGAGACTCAAAAACTTCCACAGTAATTTCATCAGTCCCATGGGCAGAATCACTAGATTTGCCCGGAAAAATCTGTTACTGATTCTTTTTTTTTTTTTTTTTTTTTTTTTTTTTTTTTTTTTTTTATTCGAGCAACATAATATTAAGTATAGAACAGGCTGGGTAATGGTGAAAATGTTTCCATGGCCTATTCATGTCAACAGCACAGTAACAACCATGTTCTCTAAAGGACAAGAATCTTTCACAATCAGCTGCCTGAGCATTGCCAGGTACAGGGGTAAATTGTGAAAAAGAAACAAAAAATTAAAGCTGTGAACATATGATAGATAGTCTCAAAAGAAAAAAAAACTCAGATGTTTCAAGTACGTATGTATAATTTTATTTTATCATGATCCCTTTTGGCCCTTATTGGTTAAACGGAATTCTTCTTCTTCTTGCTATTAGTGATCTCCTTGCCTTATCCCTGTAAGAAGGCCACAGTAGATTGTGGAGGTGGTGGGGTGAATGGAAAGGTATACAATAGGGAATGAAATGGTCTTGTACAGTTTGTTTTCTTTGAACACTAAATACCTTTAATTGAATTCATTCTTGAGTATTGAAAGTTCCCTGAGATGAACAAAAGTAGTCTCAGTCGATACTGAAGCCCTTTTTATATGCTGAACATTTTCAGAACTGGGCAATTTATTTAGAGAACACAAAGTATAGGGTAACAAAACAATGCAAAGCTAAAAAGGCACTACTCAATGCATCTATGAGATAAACATTAATGCACAAAACGATGAGTGGCTGGATGCTTTTGCTGTGGCCTTAAAATTGTTGAAATACATTTGTTGATAATGCAGTAAAAATGGCAAGGTTCCTTGCTGCTGCTTTGTAAGACATACTTTTAATGAGCTCTGAGATGGATAGTACCTACCAGAATTTACTTGTGACTTCAAATTTTCTATCGAATTCAAATTAAAGACTACTCCAACAACTTACCCACAAATAGTAAAAATTAAGGTTCTATAAATTACCTACTTTGGATTTGTTACATAAATCAGACTTTTCAACTTTACATTCAAAACATGTGCCTAATTCTTTTAAGATTTCCATTAGGTAATAAGAGGTTAATGATAAAAGTGCATCATGTTCATAGCATTTTTAGCTATGTATCTCCTTTATGCATTCTATTTTGTTTTCTTAGAGACACATGAATTCTAAAAAATAGGATTTTGAAACCCAAGGTTCTCTTATATTTTTAAAAATAATACCATGTATTATTAATATATTAAGAACTGTACTACTGTGGACATCCTTTTCTATGATTATATATATATATATATATATATATATATATATATATAAAATCTCCATGCTATTTATTCTTTTTTCAGACTGTCTTCCCTAAGAAACAAAACATATATGTTCCCCACACTATTTCTTCTTTTCTTACACTGCCTTCCCTAAGAAACAAGAGGTCATCTAAGGGTTTCAATCCAAGAGTAGAAGTGGGAACACAGGACTTCTGCTTTCTAAACAATTCACTGTCAGAATTACCTGCCGCTGAAGTAGAAGTTAACAGAAAACTGGCCCATTGGTCAATTCTATCACATGTTAAAACTTTTTGAATCACTTTATTAATAATTTCATGTGCTTCTTTGAAAACACATTAATGTAGTACTGTGAATAAATTTAACCACAGAGAAAATATTGGTCAACTTCATTCACTTGAAGTGCAAAATGCTGACACAGTTTCATTATTAAACCTCTTAAAAGTAATCATCCCTGTTTTGGAAACAGCATTCTATTAATCACGTTATTTCTGCACTAAGAAAACTTAACAGTAATGTAAAGAGAATGCCAATCTTTCCATTTGAGTAATAAGGGGAATATCAAAAAACTGGAAGTCAGATTTCAGCCCTATCAGTCTGACATTTATCCTAAAGGGCAAAATGCTTCCAGAAAATTATTATGAAATGTAAAAGTTATGGAAGTCTTCTTCAAATAAAAATAAAGTTTGAGTTTGAAAAATTCAACATATTTAAAGACAACTTCTGTATTAGTAGCATCATAATATATTAATATATTATTTTCATGAAAGGAGAATGGTTTGTTGTGTAGAAACATCAGTATAATCTTTGGTACCAAAAGTACTTTTTTTTCCTGCTAATTTTACCATCTCAGATGACATTGAACATCTTTCCTTTAGAATGGCTCAAGATTACTGAGTGGCACAGTTTAGCTGGTACCTTCTACACCACTGGGAAAAACTCTGGAGGTTTAGAGTTGTGCAAAATAAAACGTTTTTACAAAGTCATTGTGTGATTGCTCTTTAAAAATATAAGAACTTTAAAAATGATTTCTTAAAGGTTATTTATCTCATTCATCTTTATCTCAGAAAGGATTTCTAAGCACCCAATACCCAAACCAAAAGAGATTCCAGAAGACAAAAACAAAAACAAAAACAAAAACATAAAATTCATGATCAGACTCAGAGTCCTGACTGAAGGCATTTACTTGAGTTGTTTAATCTTATGGATTTCACTGCTCCAACTATTTCCATCTTGATTTCTTCTGACAAGGATGGTTTAATCCCCAGGGCTGGGTTACTCTTCTAATGTGCTTGGCATTGCCGTGGCAGCCCAACAGTGATGAACATATTTGCCTCATTAACTAATAACAAGTGCATTGTTGGATCTTGTAAACACTACTGATTATACATTCAAACTGTGTTCTTAGTGGAAGTGGCACTTACTAGGACCCTTGAAGTCGAAATATGTTTTTTAGAGCACTTTGCAGGTATTTCATCAGCTGGTAGCGGATTTCTCATAAATGTCCTTTATCACCTTTCAGATAATTGGTGGATACTGAAACTCAGTCTTGTTCTGGATCCTATTTTCAAATCTTAGGAAGCATCTTCAGAAAAGAAGTGCATATTCAGTTTGTTTGTATGTTTTCAAATGTGCTTTATTGCTTCACACACTTTCCTGTTGTTAGTTTCAGGGCTCCTCTATTATGTAGCACATTCAATGTTTTGAATTCTAATGGCATTCTGTGAGGACTTGCATTGGAAAAGTACCTATATTTTAAGTCATCGTAGTAATGATATTTGACGGCTTTTCCATTCAAATCCTTAGGGAATGGCCAGAATCCATACAGGTGAATTTCATCACAGAATCTTGTGGCAAGTGTATACATGAGGAGACCTGTGCTGGGTCTTTTGATGGGAACTTTGTTTGTCAGCCAGTAACTGGAAAAGAAAACACACACACACACACACACAGAAGAGAAGAATTTAGAGGAACACACAACATACCCTACAGCAAAGTATACTATGTGGAATTAAAGTAAATCAAATTTGAAAAGTATGCTTATGAATAACAATCAAAAGATTCCTGAAGAAATATTTCTTAAGCATTTAGAAATTTGATCTCTTTATATTATTTTCTCTTATCCTTTATTTCCTTATTTTTGAGGTCATATAAATAAACAGGGGACCTAGAAAGTATGTAAATATTACTGTAGAATCTCATATTCAAAATGAATTAGCACCAAATACATAATATACAGAATAGAATCTTCTCAGAAAGTGTTAAATACGACTATAAAAGACACAGTAATTGGGCAAAGATTGAGTAATTCTCCTAGAAAAAGAAAATTTGAAACTTTGCCCCTGGGTTTTTCAAAATCTCTGATATTTCAATTAAAAATCCAAACAAATGCTTCACTTGCATTATACTGACTTATTTCATTTCAATTGTCCAAATCCCATTTTACTAAAGCTAATTAAAAATGTTGCCTCAACCCACAGAACAACGACATAAAACAAATAACATATGAACATAAACAGTTCACCACTTATTCAGTTTAACACTTTGTTAAATAAGCAAAATAAATTTAATGCTGATAAGTATTTTATACTGTCCATTTTCAAAGGTGATAAAATACTCCAAAATGTTCAGATCCATCATTGTTGTCAAACTTTGTTCACCTGAAAAGCATGCAAATTCACAAGTTAATCATCACCCCTGGCAAAGAAGGGGGTTTCCAGTATTTCTTGGCATATTCATTATCTCATGTGGAAACAGCTAAAAGAGGAAAGGTATAGATTTTCTTTAACTTTCAAAGTTGTCCAATTATAAATAAAATAAAGTTAATAATTCTTTTTTTTTTTAATTTTTGTTTTTACTATTGTCTCTTATTTGGGGAAATATATACCCTGCCATCCAAATGTAAGGGCAAGATTATATAAAATCTTGTTCATTGCTGTGTTTAAACACTTGCCTTGGATTTACACAGTATTCTTTCCTTTGTTTTTTTTTTTTTTTTTTACCAATTTATGACGTTTTCCAGGGGACATCAAATACATCTAGACTACTGAATGCTGATCAAGAAATATTGGACTTTGAAACCTCCCTACAAACATCCAAAACAGGGAAAAGATACTTATCCATTATTGTTCCTCTTTTTTCCCCCTTCATTTCTCCCTCTCTGAACCAGGATTGACCTTTCACATCTTTTAGTTTTCTAATTGGGTAAAGGCCACGTGCTAAATGTTTTGAGCCATATGAAATGCACTATAGATCTTTTGTAACAAAAGTTTTTTAAGAAAGCCTATTCTCAGTAAAGAACATTTGGAAGGAGTCTTCAAAGAAGATTATATAAGAATTTTCTCATAACACAAAGGTAGCTAATGAACAAAAACCATAGCACATGCATTGTTGACATCATGAAGAAACCCAGATATTGATTCTGTGTGAGAAGTTTAGTTAAACTATGGTTTGAAGGTTTTGAAGAGACTGATAGAGACCAAAGCTGTCTCAGCTTTGAGAAAGCAGATGTTCTAGCATAGAATGATTCTTATTGGAAAATTTTGTAATGTGATCTGTGTGTGATTACAGATGTCAGTTGATGAAGTTGGTTAGTTTTAAAAAATGCATTTATTTATAAATTTTTAAAACAGGTGAAGCAAGTTCAAACTCAGTCAAAAAATGATTATTTCCACCAATGAATGTCAATGATTAGGAATAGTCTGACAATATGAAGTTTGTGCTGAATTATGTTATTTCTAAAGTGAGAAAAAAAAAGCTATCAGGAAATAGTATAATGCCATATTATTTATATGGGACTCCAAGGTCACATTATATGTGACTTCAAGAACACATTATAAATAAACACTTTGCATTTTCTAATTCTGGAAAGATTTCCTGAATATTCATTCAACTCTGATCATTCATAGACAAAATACCAAAGCAACTTTTTTATGAATACAAGTAAGCAATTATAGTGTTAGGGAAAAAAAAAAAAAAAAAACGCTGATGGCAAAATTATTGGCCTAAATGTTTTAAAATAGTATCACAGATACATAGTAACTCAACCTTTTTTGATCCAGGGCACCCCATGTGATACCACAACAGAAAATCAGTGAAGTCATCTCCTTACCCTCAAACGCCTGACATCTAAAAGCTAGCAGGCAAAACAGCATAGTGCAGACATCCAGAAGGAAACAATAGAAACATGTAATTTTGGGGACAATCTCAAGTACGTGATGTGACTTCAGTGAGGTTTTTATGGAGGAAATAAATTTGTGAATTTTGGAATAGGAAAGATATACCTAGAATATTAATTAATTAATATTAATAAAAATTGTGTTTTGAAAACTAAACTCAGATCACAAAGCATCCTATTTGAAAGTAATGGGTAGAGAGGCTCTAGAAACTTGTTACTTTAATCCATGCAGTTCAAACACTGGTGTAAATACACTTTGCTTTAGAAATTCTAAAACTGTCTGATGTTTGGCTTGAAACAATTTGAATAATTTCAAAGAAAATTAACTACCCATTTTCAGGATATTTTTGGAGAAAAAGAACAAAATAAATGCCACTAAATGGTATCAACATGTAACAGATAAGTTGAAACAAAACCTTAAAGCAGTTGAGAACTAAGGCCACAGTTAATAACATCCTGTGAAATTAAAAAACACAGGAGCCGATCCAAATATAGTCAGTAAGAATTTCCTATGCGCTTATTATAAATCTAATGTTGGGCCTGACATTGTATAGGCCAACATAAATTACCGATATTCAGTATTTGCCCAGGAGCACATTCCATATGTGAAGAGGACAAAAATGGATATTCTTTTTAAACTCTATTAGCACAATCAGTTAGATAATATCTGCCAACTTTACAAGCCAAAATCCAGAGAACAATTTTAAAATCCATATCGCTCAGTATCTACTTATGTACAAGCTGGCATTTAAAGACCACAAATTTCTTATAAAGAGTTAATCAAAAATAGAATGTTAACTTAAATTTTAAATCCTAATTAGGAAGAAATTGAACTGAAAATAATGCATTTATAAAATAATGAACTATTTATATTCTAATTCAGGATAAGCTGTTCTAATTTTTATCTCAAATTCATTTCTCTTGTAATTTCAAATTTGGCAATATTTTCAATTCAGCAAATAATCTAGTTTCTCTGTATGTATTTCTTTTTATAGAAATTGATATTTTTCATCACAAAATCAATGCAGCTTCCCTGTAGAAAATATGAAGAAAAAAATGAGGAATAAAATATTACTTATAAGTCAACTACATGCAGATAACTACTGTTATAATGTGCTGCATCCTCTTGTTTCTCTGACTGTTTTAGTCTTAATATATCATTCATAGACATACATAGAATATTTTTTCACCAGCTAGGCTAAGTTTTATTTCAGATACTATTAATTCCCTCTCTCCTTTCCTCCTTCTCTTCCTTTCTGCTTTAATGTTGTAATACTCTGTCTTGTTGTATGAAACAAACTCACCCTAGATTTTATTGAACATTTCTAAGTTTTTATTTTTTTAAGTTTATTTATTTTGAGAGAGAGAGAGGGAGAGCAAGTGGGGGAGGGGCAGAGCCAGAGGGGGAAAGAGAGAATCTCAAGCTGACAGAGCAGAGTCCCACATGGGGCTCATTCCCATTAACCATGAAATCATGACCTGAACCAAAACTGAGTCAGACGCTTAACCAACTGAGCCATGCAGGTGCCCTGAACATTTCTAACTTTTTATACATGCAGTAGCCTCCATAGGTCTCACTACTTCCCACCATGGAAGCTCAGTTCTTGCTAAGCCAGGTGTCTTACCTACTCTTCCTCCAACATATCCACTGTTCTTATTTCAAACAAACTTAGCAGTTGCAATGTCTCTATCCACCAAATCTGTGTCACAAGAAGTGCGTATGAATCTGTGATATCATATATCAATGCCTGAGCCCTTGGGCAAGCTACTACTTCTCTTCCTTGGGCCGTGATTAATAATATTAAGCCTGTAAGGTTGTCATGATAATGTAAGAGAGATAGTATGTGTGGAAATCATAGCAGAAAGCTTGACACATAGTAAGTAATACTAGTTGAATTTTAACATCTTTCAGAAAAACCCACTCTTTATTCCAACTCACACTTCTCTCTTGATGCCTTCTGTAACTATATGTTCCCTGTGGTCATGTCATTTAACCTCAGTGGGCATGTTTCCTTAGTTGAGAAACAAAAGCATTTGATTGTGTGGCTTTGGAGTTTCCTTCATCTGTAAGATTCCATTGGTGTTTCACATCTTCTGTCTCCATGAAACTGCACACTGCCTGAAACTGTGTGAAACACTCTTGGTCCTGCTGTGCTACCTGCTCCTCATTCTGTTCTCCTTCGCTTTTTTCAGGTTTGAATATACTGAAAAGCAAAGAAAGTACTTATAGTAGTTTTGACATTAAAGCCAGCAATAGGTTAGATTTTTATCTCATATTAAAATTGGGTACTGATCACCTGATAAGCCAAAATATATTATTTCAAGCAACCAACATTTTCTAAATAAAAGAAAAAAACCTTATCTTCAACAGCATTCCACATTTGATACACTCATGACAGTTCACACTCAACATTTTGGCAAACAAGGAATATTAATTAGCGTTTATATTTAAACAAAAAAGTGTAGAAGTTTAGAAGTAATAGGTATTTTTTCCTCTTAAGGTATTATTCTTTCAAAAATCAAAAAATGGAAATTTCTATATAAATATAAAATAGAATATAAAAATATATAATAAAAATATGCATAAAATATAGATAATATATATTATATATGATATAATATATATATTATAATATCCTAGAATATAAAGTATGGAATCCCACTGTTCCAGTTTTAATGTTATATTATATGCAAAGTTTCCATTCATGAGCCCAGTGATTCTTTTATCTGGAATGCAATATT